TTCTGCCCTTCTTTGGGTACTCCTGAACCCTTGGTGCTGTGTGGTGCTCCTAGATGCAATTCCCCTGCCTAGTTTTTGCTATTTTGACATTCTTCCTTATTTCAGGTTGATACAAAGAAAAGCAAAAGATAGTCCCTGCCCTTAAGGAGTTCACAATCTAATGAGGAAAAGAAAAAAGAAACTTAAAAGGGGGAAGACAGGGAGGACAGTATCCAGGTTTGGGGGTGGAGAGGGGAAATAAAGAAGGCCAAAGGAGTGCATCCAGATAAAAAATTATGAAATGGTTACCTCTGAGCCCCTTCATTAAATGGTGTAATCTGAGAAGAGCCTGTCACTGTCCACCCTCCACCTTCTCCTATTGGAGAAAGAGAGGAACCCCAGCGGCAGGAGGAGGTCAAAGAAAGTGGAATAAAACCCATACACACAAAAAATATTTATAATAGCACTTTTTGTTATAGCAAAAACATTGTAAACCAAGTGGGTGCTCATGAAATGAGGAATGACTAAACCAAATATGGCATATAAATGTAATGGAATATTATAACTAGAGCATAATAAATAAGAGTGATGGATTGAATGAAGCCTGGCCAGACTTTTATGAAGTGATGTAGAATAATCTAAGTAGAACAAAAAGTAAAAGTTATGATAACTACAAATGGTAAAGGGGGAAAAAACCTATGAAAGACTTAAGATTTATGATCAATATAATAACCAATTGTGATTTCTGAGACTAGTGATGAATTAGGCTACCCATCTTTTGGCAGAGAGATGATAGATAAGAGGTATGAAAGACATTCATTCTCAGAAAGGGCCAGGGATTTGTTTGTTTGTTTTGCTTTGCTTTGCTTTGCTTTACTATTCCAGGAAAGAGTTTTACAGAGAGAGGGGAAAATTATAAATAGGTTTGGTGGATAGCAAGAGTGATACCAAAAGAAGAGGAAAAGATACTAAAGAACTTCAGTGAAATATTGGGAAAAATCAATGAAACAGAAGGAAGTTCATCAGAGAACAGAGACAAGCCCAGGACTGTTTGAATTACAGTGTTGAATTTAATATATACTGATGAGATTCAAATAGAGTGGTTAATGAGAAGCTCATTATCTCAAGTACCACTTAAAGCCACTTTAGGAGACAATTAGATTCAAGTAGGCTGTACAATGAAATAACAGAAACCAATAGGGCCTCTGACAACCTGGGCAAGACAATGGAAAAATAATAGATAAAGCCCAGAAAATTTGAAACTACTGTCCCTGATTACTTATTCCCCTGTCCACTGCAGGTCTTACTCTATAAGAATCCCTAGCCTCTCCTGGCTAGTGGGCATCTTCTTTAAGTAGGTGGTATCTCCTTAAGTGGGAGGCATCCCCCTTTCTTGGACATTTCCTGTTAGCCAGTGTCTCCCTGAAGTGGCTATCTCCCTTGGGGGGAAAGGGAGATAAGCTGGGGTCTCCCTTAAGCTGCGTCTCCCTTCAGGGGCAAAGGAGCCTGTTTGGTGTGTTGTATTACCCCCAATAAATGCCTATACTTGATTTGGAGATAGCCTGAGTGAATTTTTTTTGATAGGACCTTGTACCTCAACATTTTGGGGTGTACCTAGAACCTCATCATATACATTCTTTTAAATATGAAATAGAATTTCACAGTCTCTCACAATCCTATTTCCTGTTCTTTGTGTAAGAAAAGGTTTTTGTTTGTTGATATTTGACAAATTCAGAATTTGTCAGGAATAGACTAAATGCTGGGCTTGGAGTTAGGAGAAGCCTGGGGTTGAATCCTTGATGAGGATGGGACCCTGGACTTTCCCACATGGCCAAATCTCTGGCATTGGCCTGAGGCTATAATCCCATCAACTGGCTTTTCATTGTGGCTATGCCCAATCTCTGGCCCTCCATTGTTTTATCTCCCCATGGCCCCCTCCACTTCCCACCTTTAATCCTACTTAGGCTCCATTCTCCCTTGGCCACTTGGTCCAGGTACCTGGCATTCTATTACTTCATAGTCCCTGCTGCATTCCCCACCCCCCACACTATTTGGCCACTCCTAGATCCCTCCTGATAAGGATTGGAGCTAGACCCCAAAAAGGAAAAACCCTGGACTTTCCCAGAGGGCCAAATCTCTGGTTTTTGCCTGGGGCTATAATCCCATCAACTGGCCTTTCTTTGTGGCTATACTCAATCTCCCAATTCTCTGTTACACTTAACTGAGTCTAGACTTCCCTAAATCCCACCACCACCACCACCACTTCCCACCCTTAATGCTATTTAGGCTCCTTCTCCCTTGGACACCCATGGAGTTCTATTACCTCATAGACTATATGGCCACTCCTAGATCCCTACCATAGTCTTTCTATATATGAGGTCCATCTTGTCTCCATTAAAATGTTGGGATTCTTAAAATCTAGCCACTGTTCAGATTCTTATAATGTAGCCAACAGCTTACTAATGTTCAGACTCCTTAAGAGTCTGCCCAATATAATGGATGCTCTAATAAATTTTGTCTTTGGCTGAAAGAAGATGTGGGTTGAATTCTTTTAGACAGGACCTTCGTGTTGTGATCTCGGGGACCCAACACCCCTAAACCTCTAGACCTCATCATTCTGACTTTGACACATAGTAAATGTCTGGCCTTAGTAGATGAGTTACTTATCTTCCCTGAGTCTTAGTTTTCTTGACTTTGCCTTTCTTTGTATTCCCAGAACTTAACATAGTACCTGGTACATTAATAAATGTTTGTTTATTTGTTAATTATTTTACTTGTCTGTAAAAGAGAGGTGATAATGCTTTTGTAACTTGTGGCTCAGAACCAAAAATTTGGGTTACATGGACTGGGCTCAATCTTGAGGGGGAGAGTGCCTCTCAAAAATCTCTCATTTGACTTGTATTCCCACAAGGGTTTCCCCTGTGTTATGGGAATTTTTATTTTATTTTTATTATTTGGGACTTAGGCACATTTCACCAAGTTTTGGTTAACTCAAAGTCTATCTCAATATTAACCTCACCTGACCAAAACTTGTCCTATGGGACATAAAGATTTACTTAATAACCTCAAACATTCCTCAAATAAGAAGCCAGAGGAAGAATCTCAACTGTCCCTGATCCTAGGCAACATATAAATCCTCCTCCTCAATCAGTCTAATTGAGAATCCTCTGAATGTAGTTTAATCTATCACCTGATATAGTTTATCTTTTATTGTTTGATGGGGTTTGTTTCCTTAGGGGATATATGAGATTATGACTCTGTTTAAGTTTGTCTTACTTTTTTGATGTTGAAGGAAATACGTGATTATGTAATTACCTTCTTTTTAGCTTTTATGGCCTAAGAGGAATGTACAAGATTGTAATGTATAAATGAATTATTTCTCTGTTGCTTTGATATAATTTTTCCTATGAGAAACTTTGTTAGAATCCTAATCATGGATCAGGTTTATTAGAACATCCAGGTGTTATAAGAAATATCTTCTCTCTTGAGTTCATGTGGTGAGCAACTGCTACCAAATATATATTTACCACAACACAGAAATTAAATGGGAATTTTGGGGGGAGTTTATGGAAGTCACAGATGACACAGGAAGGTCAGCAGATGACATAGAAGTTTAGAAACTCAGAAATGCATAAAATATGCACACAGTATTGTATTATATCAACATATTTTATCTCTTATTATCATAATAATTCTCTAGAATGAAGGGAGGGCCAAAAAATCTTATGCAGATGGAGGGGGTGCCACACCCCTAAACCACACACCCCACCCCACCCAGATGTGGAAGGGATAACTGTAATTCTCAGTATCAGTGAAAGACAAGGGCAAAGTTTGTTCTTCCTCATCACAACTCTGTCCCTTGCTGCTGCTCTTCATCTCTGGCTCCTGCCTAATCCTGAACTCTTCCAAAAAGCATGCCATACATAAGGAAATTGAGAACTGCCAGACCCAAGTCAAAGTTAAGATAGCATTGGTCAGGAGAAGTAAGAACCTGGCTCAAGTGTGGGAGAACTGGTCAAGAAGGCTACGAAGGAAGCGGCTTTTAGGAGCTCATGGGTAGGAGCCTAGAGATCAAAATTGAGGTAAAAGATGACAGCGAATTCCAGTATGTTTCTTTGAATCTGGCCGAAAGCTGGTGGACATTATTGGAGAAGTGTATGGAGTTGGCAGGGTTTCGAATAATGGCCATAAAAAAAGTCATTGAAAATGATTGAGAAGAAAGAGAAGTGGGAAAATCTGTTGACGAAACTCTTCCTTCAGGCTGCCATTTTGGCCCAACTTGGCAAGACCTTCCAGAAAAGGAGAGTTGAGGTGAAAAACTTGAAGATTGAGAAGATGGTGATGATTCATCGACGATACCAGAAACTGTCTGCTGTAAAGCCCTGGAAGAATGTGAGGCCATAGCATTCCTGGCCACAGAATTGAGGCACATCTCAGAAATAATCCTTTCAGAGTTCTCTCCCTAGGAAAAAGTGGAAAACTGACTTCTTCAAAACCCACCCTGGCCGTGAACAGATTTTGCCTCTGCCTCCCAGAACTAGCATTGTAGACATGCAGTTTGATTTCCTTAAAAGTTCCCTAGTTCTTCCTTAGCTTTTCCAGTTAGCCAAAGACATCTGAAATATTTGATTAGATGTAGACAAGTGCAGAGAGAGATCTCAACAATGGTTTCTGTTACCCTCCAATTACTGCCTTAGGCTTTTTTGATGGGAAACTGAGCAGCAGGACTTGGCCTCAAATGAGACAAATCTATGGGTTCCTCCTTTCAGTTTTAAAGTGAAGTATTTTTCATGAGGATCTTAAAATACTGAAAAGCAGTTTAAGAAGCTCTTTTCTCTCTCCTTTTTTTTTCAGGGTGGGGGGAAGGCAGTAAAAGGTTTTTTTCTTCTAAAAAAATAAAAAAATAAGTCTTGTAGTATTAACACTAAGGCTTAGACTCCTTCCAGGAAGGAGACAAAACCAAGATTGAGACAGAGGCAAACCCCTTTCTCATTGGATCTTCACTGTCTAAATAGACTCACAGTAAAAGTGAAGGACAAAGTCCAGGGTCTTGCTTCTTCATATCATAATTCAGGCCATCACTACTCCTCCAGATCCTTGGCCATGTTTTAGATCTCAAAGAATGCTTGACTCTTTTTAAAAGGCTGAAATTCATAAAGTCCCATCACTCAGCCAGTTGATTCATCTCTCCACAGCTATCACTTCAATGAGAGATTATAGGTACCTGAAGTGAAAGTGAAACAAACCAGAAAGGGGAGAATTACATCAGTGTTCATGGGCTTCTAAGAGTCCTTTAAGTTGTTTTGTAATTTTCTGTGGAGTGAAATGAAGGCTATCCTATTCTTCATATATATATATATATATATATATATATATATATATATATATATATATATATATATTTATATTTATATTTATAACCTAAGGGCTTAAATAGGAACTGGGAACCCATTTACTCACACCACAGGATATTTAGATAATTAGAGGTTATGGTATTGTCTTTTCATGGCAGATCTACTAATTGAGAATACTAAACTCTCCTGCAGCAGAAAGTCCTATTGATGGGGTGTGGTCCAAGCTGAGGTCTTTGCCCCTTGCCCCAAAGGGAATCTGGCTCCCCTTGTCTACAGGCCCCAGCCCCTCATCTCCCTTTGAAAGCCTTAGCCTACCTTTTAATCTCATTCAGATGCCTTTCAGTTCCTTCATTATCTATTCCCATTGTCTATTCAATCTCTTAGACATTCCTGTCTCTGGGAATTCACACCCAGAACCTTTTCCCAGACCCTTCCCTGGTCACCCAAAGTATATAAGATCTACCCCGGCCCTCATTTGGGGCTGAGAATCTCAGGCTCACAAGGCTGAGAACCTCTTGTGCCAATTCATCCTTACGGGCATCACCGAGCCCTAAGTGTTTTATCACTAATAAACTTTTCCTCTGGCTGAAGAAGATTTGAGTTGAATTCTTTCCGGCAGGGCATGGTACTGTGATCTTGGGGTCCCCCAGCACCCCAGAAGTCCTACACCTCTTCACTATTATTGCCTCTCAGAATCTTTCAGTTGTGTGAGTGAGCACATGTGAAACTTCACTGTGCTTCTGATCTAAGGTTACCATTAATAGCTTCCAAATGGAACATTGTAAGACTATACATGTTATTCCTCTTTGGTTTTGGTTTTGTATTTAACTTTCACTTTGAACTTCTCTAAAAGGATAGTTGCAATTTTCTCATTTCCATTTTGTAAGCCCAGCACAAAAGGTCATTTCTGACTCTTATTACTAGCCCAATTATCAAATTATTCCCAGTGTCTGAGATGTAATTATTCATCCTCATGGAGATATGAATGATTCGACAAGTACCCAGAACTAGATCTTGTTCTCAACTCTCTAGGAAATACCTACAGGCATACCCACATCCTCCATCTTTCCCCAAACCCATCAAAACTGATTAGGCTTTGGCAATCTATCCATCCATCTATCAATATCTTTATTTGAATTGAAAGAAATCTTAATACATTTTATAGGAAATATGTGACAATTATGCATAAATATTTTTTCAGTGTATACCTATATAACACCCCTTCTGTACTACATGCCAAAAAGTAGTGACTACTACTTTTGGATTCTAGAGTTGACCTAGAATCCTACCCCCTTCCCCAGCAATGTACCTTCCGTTAACAATCAGTACATACAATTAACTCATAGCAAAGACAATTGTTAGAATGCCCTAGTAACTGTAGTAGTTACAAAAAATTCCCTCCATACCTGGGATCTATTCTCCCACAATTATACATAGCAACTGCAGGAAAAGTAAGCCCAAGTTTAAAGTGCAATGGCAATAATCCATACCATGGGGAACATAGGCAGCCAATACTATTCACTATTCTAGTACTATGAAGCCCGGAGGTTCTTTACCTCCTAGGCAAGCCCTCACAAAGCTTCCCATTATGTGCAATATCTTTGCTAAGCAAGTTACTCAGGTGGGCCCTCAGGGTCTGCTCTTCTTCACAGCTTGACCATGGATAGCCAGAGCTATCTTTCTCTGAATCCATAGATGACTCCCTTCTCTGTTGCCTGAGGTCAAACTCTCAGCTGCTTCCACTCTCTCAAGTGACTGCCTTTCTGTAGCTATTTCTTTGACAGCATACATCTGCTCCTTGCTGAATGCAATTTTTCTTACTCATTGAGTTTTTATTTCAAAATTACATGGGGGAGGGGAGATCCTCTCCTTCCCCCATCAAGAGTTATTCCCCCTCAGAGACTGGGTTTCAGGGTTTCTTTTCCACTTATGTCTCCAACTTGGACTTACTCATCCTGCCAAACTCATTGTATAAAACTATGCAACATGTCCAATTTTTGCTTACCCAAAGGATGTTCCCTTTCATTTCATCAGAGTAAGGCATTCAAGAGGGGAGGAAAGTGTAAGCACTTGTTAATGTATTCATGCCATACTTCCTTTGTTATCTTCTTTTTGCTTTCTGTGACTACAACTATGAGAGAAAGAATAAATGTCTCCTTCCTCCCTCAACACCTATATTTTCAAAGGCATTTCATTTTAGGGATCTGACCTACATTTAGACCAGTGTAGTGGCTATATGACCTTAGACAAGTCATACCCCCTCTAGGCCTCAGTTTCTTTTATCTTTAAAATAAAGAGGTTGGAATAGGTGACTTCTAAGGCCTTTTTATTTCCTAAAATTCTTCCTTTTGAAAATGGTAAGGTGATTTTAATCCCTAATAAAATGCCTCAGAAAACCATTTTCCTTCTGAGCAATCATGTTTTGACAGCAAAAATTTTAGACAACTAACTTTTTAAAAAGCCAAATGCTGCCAAAATTGTGACATGGTCTAGCGGATCAATGAACAGATCTATTGTTTAATGCTATATTACAAAGTGTAGAATTATAACAACACTAGTGAGAGCTATCTTAGAAGATGAGTGTTTCATGAAGTTGAATGGAATGTCCCAGTGAAGACTCCTCAGTGTGATTAAGGTTTGGGATAAGGCTGAGTGGGATGAGAGTCCTGTGAAAACTTCTTAGAAGAATAAATAGAAATTGTATTAGACTCAAGGCAGGCATTTCAATTTACTAGAAATCACCTGATTTACGGGAATTCACCCCCAAGTACCCCCCCTTATGCCATTGTTAAGTAAAGTTTGCCAAGCCTGAAACTCCTGAAGAAGCCCCCCCTGTATTTTGTTGATGCACCTGTTGCTATATTTTGGTCATGGTGACCTGGCTGTACAGTACAGTGTCTAGCTTGACTGCACATCTTTAATTGCTTCTTTGGTATTACTTCAGCAAACTAAGAAATATAGATATGTATATTGTGTTCATTGTTTTGTCTTCAGTTTCTATGGACATTGAGAATGTGAGCCAAATATTGGCCAGTTGGTGGGAGGGGGGAATTTGCCCATTAGGGTATATAATCAGGTCCTTTGCTTCTGTCTGTGTCTCCTTTCATCAGAGTATTCTGGTGGAGGGACACCCAAATCTCAAGGTTTGAAATAATAATAATAAATTAACTTTCTGTTTCTCCTTGGATACCTGTGTTTTTTTTAATTTGAGTGGCATCCCAGCAAAGTTACAGAGCGTGAGAAATTGGCACCTACTGAATAAATTTATTTTATTCAAAGTTACTCTCTACAATAATAATATACAACATAGTTCAATCATTTATGATATGTAGAAGGAACAGGTAATAATCAGTTTTCAAATTATTTATATGAGTGACATTGATTTAACAGATATGTATGAATTATATTTATAATTGCTTATATTTACATATATATGTACACATATATACATATAAGCTCAAAACTCATGAAAAATAATACAATTTACAACATTCTCTAGCATCAGAGAGAAAAAGAGATCAGGAAATTTTGAGTCCTTTGAATGAAGGGAAATTTTATTTTTTTACAACTTAATTCTATTATAATTAACTTATTTTGATATAGAATTTAAAATTGATAATTGATAACTTTGTCTTTACATTATCTTCATTTCCAATTATTCTCTTCTCCTATTGCTTCCCCAGAAAGCCACTCCTTATAAAAAAGATAGAAAGAAAATAAGCACTCAGCAACAAGATCTTACATATGAAATGTTCCACACCCATACAAAGAAGAGAGGGAAGTACATTTTCTCTTCTCTTTTTCAGAGCCAAATTTTATCATTATGTGATCATTATGTTTACATGGTGTAAATATTACTTTTTGTTTCTTTTTTTTTGTTATAGTCATTGTGGATATCATTTTCTGGTTTTGCTTACTTCACATCAATTCATATATTTTCCCATCTAATATCTGCATTTTTTCATTTTTAATATTTGTTGTTTCATACAACCAGTAACACTCCATTATAATCACGTACCACAGTCTGTTTAGTCATTCATTAACAGATAAGTGGTCAAAGCATGTGAACAAACAGTTCTCAAAAGGAGATTTTAAAACTATAAACAACCATTTGAAATATTGCTCTTAACCACTAGTAACAAAAGAAATGCAAATCAAACAACTCTGACATCTCACCTTACATTCAGAAAATTTACAAAGATGGAAAAATATGGAAATTGTAAATGTTTCAAAGGTTGTGGAAAGACAGGCACATTAACTTACTGTTAGTAGAGCTGTGACTTACTCTAATCATTCTGAAAAATAACCTGGAATTATTCTACTTTTTAAAAAGTGACTAAAACATCCATACATTTTGACCCAGAAATCCTGCTGATAGGTATATTTTCCAAAGGAGATCAGACATTGTTTATACATAAAATATGTAGCAGCAGTAAAATATAGATAGATAGATATTTCCAGTAAATTATATAAAAATTATATTTGCAGCAAAAAAAAAATTAAATTAAGTTTTAAAACTCTGGAATTAAAATGTATGTCCTTTAACTGGGAGATGACTGAACAAACTTTGTATAGAAATTTATAGTTTCCATACAAACATCAAACTACTCAGACATGGAATACAGAATAGCTCATTCTCACTTGAATGCATAAACAATTACAAAAATGTACTTTCACTCTCTAGAAAGCATCACCTTCCCTTAGTGATGGGGGCAGGGCCCAAGCCAAGATCTTCCCTTTTGCCCCAAAGGGAATCTGACTCACAGGCCCCAAACCCTCATCTCCCTTTGAAAGCCTTAGCCTTACCTTTTAATCTTATTCAGATGCACCCTAAAAGAATCTGGCTCCCTTTTGTCTATAGGCCCCAGAA